CTCTACATCAGCCGCATATCTAAAAATGAATGGTGAAAAACACAACAAAAATTTTCCCTCCAGCTCAGATGGTGGAACGGAAGCTAATTAACATTTTTTTTTTTTGAGTGGGGGGCATTTCACACTACGTAAATGGAAAAAAAATTCGCCTCTGATGATGAATGGGGTACTCACTGGGGTGGGGTTGTCACGTTCCTTGACCCCCTATTGTGACTTAAGGTCAACCTAGATCTTAAGTGGGTCTTGTATATACGATTCATTGTCAAAGATGCTGGGAAAATGGTTAGTTCCCTGTACTGCTCCACTAAGGACCTGAATCCTCCCCGCTGTCCTCTACCTGAGAGTGATCAGGTAGAAAATGAGGTACCGCTGCCATATACGGACAGGAGCTACACACTCTTCACTTTGGCTTACGGCCATATCACGTTAAATCATAAGTTCCCGCACGATTACCAAAGTTAAACAACATCGACGCTGGTGAGTAGCTAGATGTGAACAGCTGGGAATGTAAGCTTGGACGTGCAGATGGCTTAATAGCTGCAAATGGTGGCACAGTGGATAAAGCCGTTAGTTAGATCCAGTGACAGGACCTAGAGAGTGAGTTCAATACCCGGTTAAGGCGGTGGAGAACTTTCAGAGGGGAATTAACAGGAGATAACTGATAACTGATATCCATAAAGCATGGCCCGTGAAACTAGAATAGTCTACCCCAGTGAGCGAAATAAAGGGTTCAGTTCGACATTCCAACCACCTGAAGAATGCCGGAGCGTACAACAGCCGAAACCTTGTAATAAATATGACGACAAAGATGAGGACAATAGTCCGAATAATGTAAATAGTGTACAGAATACCTCATCTCAGAAATATAGACAGACTTTATTTTAACTTTATCAACTTATGTAATAAAATTTCATATAAAATTTCGCATGAACATTTTCCTCTTGAAAAGGTCAAAGGTTTCGGCCACCTAGTGAGGATCAAACTTACTACTCGTTAATATTTTGTAGAAGGGAAAGATGGAGTTTTATTTCGATCTCAAATGTTTCTGTTTGATGAACCAGCTGCTGGTTCCTTTTGAAGTTCTGTCTTTTAAGCAGCATCAACTTTGATCGAAGACTAACGCGTAAGTAAAAGGAACTAAAGGGATTTTTGGAGATCAAGTGGCAACAAAACCGGAAATAGGGTATATCCGTGCGCTGGTCTATATTAAGAGTGATACTTGAAATCGGGGAGAGTTTTCTGGTCTGCCCTTGGTGGGAGACGGGCGTGTCCCTGTCGCTGTTCCTATGCCCCCATTTCACATGGCCAGACACGACGTCAGGATGAATAGATCGAGGATTAGTTGGTGGGGGGGTGGAAAGAAGTGACATAGCAGAAGTTGTCCCAAGTACCATCTACCTACCGGCCCGTTCGAGCAGGCGAAGTCCCGAATAAAACATCTCCATATTATATGGAAAACAGGCTTCACGTTCTTATTTCTCGGCGTGGCATACAGCCGGTACTTCCCTAACGTTCAGTGCCCACCGTTGAGATCCCTGGGGATGATCACGGGCTGGTCAGTGGGACGCATCGGCCGGGGTGGCGTTGTATGTTTACAATTTACTAAACTTTGCTTTGTTTCCACACTAGGTCACACATAAAGGTCATACAGTGCGGATTGGTTTGGTTTGGTTTGTTTGTTTAACGGCATATCAACACCTTATGGGTCATTTAATGCCGACATTTCATTTTCTTGGTAGCTTTTATTTGATTTATTTGTTTAACGGCATATCAACTCCTTATGGGCCATTTAATGTCGAAATGTAATTTTCTTGCGAGCTTTGATTTGATTTGTTAGTTTAACTGCATATCAACACCTTATGGGTCATTTAACGCCGATATTTAATTTTCTTGCGAGCTTTGATTTGATTTGTTTGTTTAACTGCATATCAACACCTTATGGGTCATTTAATGCTGAAATTTTATTTTGTTGTGAGCTTTGGTAATTTTTTTTTTCCTAAAAATGTATTGCTGGTAATATTCTCATTTTATTTTTTACTATATTTTTTGAAAGTTATTCTTTTTATTTTTGCAAATTTTTCACGGAAAATTTGGTGTTTAAAGCAGTCGTCATGGTTATATTAACCGTTCCATTACAAGGAAACATTCGATACTCGTTGACCGAGCAGCCAATGGTAGCATTTAAGTTTGAGTTAAGTTTTTCTTCTCGCCATCGGACTAAGATCAAAATGTAGTATCTGTCCTCCTCATCCCTCACGGTAACGGTAATATTAGCCGTTTCCTAGTAAGGAAATATTCAACATTCATTGATAGAGGAACCAGTGTTACTCGAATTACAATTTTCTTTACTCCTTAGCCATCGTTTTGCTGGTACGTTTTGTAATGTATTTTTATACTTTCCTAGAGTTTTAACCCCAATTTAGGGGTTCATTATTTTACCATAGCTAGGACCCTAACAGGTGCTACCACTCTGAGTCAAGGTAAACCTGGGAACAACAACAATTACAAGGTGGTTCCACGCTTTTGAAAACCTCCCGATCAAAGGCCTTGCTGCCGGATGTAGTTTATCGTCATACCGAAGACGGACAAGATGGGGGGGGGGCACACTCTCTGCTTAGTAGTAGCAGTCAATCGGAACATTTTACTAAATATTGCACCAATTTTAGGATTTCAAAATTATTTATAAAGCGTAGATTAATTTTTGCACACGACCACTATGTTGTGACAAAATTCAAATCAGGGTCTGTAATGTTATAGGTCCTGACCTGGCATCTCGAATGCAGTTACTTTCCCACCCACGTAACATGGCCTTCCTTTGTCTTTTCTATAAATATTTTCATGACAATTATTCTGATGATGTTTCTTTCTTTGTACCTCGACTGTATAAATTTAAGCATACTTCTAGATTGTTCAACTAGCTAGATATAATCGTAAGTTCAATTCTAATAGTTTCGTTTCTCGTACATCACAACTGTGGAACCTTTCTTCTAGTTTCTGGCCTCAGCGACACCTACAATCTTCAAAATTTTAAATGCAATGCCAATTGTCATATTCTACTTTTGTTGAGATGTTGTGAGTTTCCCGCGTGTCGGTGTATGAAACAAGACAAACACAGTTGTAGAGGAAAATACTGGTATATTTGTAAAAGCAATTAACAATAGAGTGATTAGTAGAACGAAGGTTGGTTAGTACGAAACAATATCCAAAGTCTATAGTCCAACGGTATGTAACGGGTAAGCTTATCTGGACTGCTGACGCTGACGCTCTGTCTCTCCGTCCTCTCTCTAGAGCTGACTTATATAAGAGGGACCAGTCCATTTCTAGTTAGAAGGTGGGTGCGCCCCAACAACCTTCCTGAAGATTGTACTTTTATTGCCCATTAAAGTCTTCTCATTCTCTTTCACAACCAGTAACCACTTGCGTCTTAGTGGCTTTATCGCCTTGCTTGGGGTGAAATTATTTAAAAATATACTATAAGGCGCAGCGACTCAGGATCCTTGTAAGGAAATATTCAGCATGTGTTTCTCGAATTGCGCTATTCTTTACTCCCTGGCTATCGAGTTAAGGATCAAAGTGTTGTATCTGTTCTCCTCATCCTTAATGGTAATGGTAATATTAACCTTTCTCTTATAAAGCAACATTCGGTTTTCGCTGACCGTGCAGCCAGTGATACTATCGATTGAAATTTAGAAATTTTTTTATTAAAACAATTTTTCAGTTAAATAGGTTTCTCATGACTACTGGCATTACTCTTCCCAGTATTGATGGGAGTTTCCTTCCTAACCTTTTGTTTGAAGTGGTAGGGAACATCAACATCTTGATTATGTCATTATTTTCTCTTCTAGATAGTTACATATGCTATTTATTTTAGTTGTTGCTGTTGTTGAAAGTCCTCAAGTCATGTGGTTTCTGTTATTTGGTATACAGTTCTTTGCTTGGGAATTTGTAGCGCCAGTCGAAGAATAGTATTCGGTAAAACCCTACATGCTTCATTCGTTCGAAGACATTTTAAATCAGGGAAAGAAGTTCTATACAGCTGACAGTTTAGTGATGTACGTCGATGACTCCCTCGCTGTTGGATTGAAAAGTTCTTTGTACCTTTTTTTTTCCCTCTGATCCCTAATTTTTGGCTTGTGTAATTCAGAAGTTGAAACGCTTGGACGCTAGAGATGGATTTTGAACAGCACTCATGCGCATTAAGAGACAAATCTCTTATGAGATTTTTCGGTAAAGATTGATGCAATTTGACGTTATGTTCCCCGAAATAAAACGAGAACGATACAAATATTTTGTCTCAAGGAGAGTATTTTAGACAGATTTCTCTAGTTTTAATGTGTATTTTTTCAAAATCACTCTATACAATTCATTTTTTTCCTCTGTATCCAGTACCAAAACTTTCATCTGAACTTTGGTTCTAATTTCTTTTTTCGTTTCTTTTTTTAAGTTCCATTTTTTTTATTTCCAATGTTTCGTGCCATTTTCTTTTCTGTTGCATTTACTTTCTGTCTTTTTTTTCTTTTCTTTTTTCTTCTTACCTATTCTTTCTATTTTTTACATTTTCCTCCTTTTCCTTCTACTCGTTTCTTTTGCTTTTCTAATCTTTCTCTTTCTTTCTTTTTTATTTATCCATTCATTCATTTATTCTTCCTAATTGTTTTTTTTTTCTTTTTTTCTTCCCTTCTTAATTTTCTCTTTGTTTTTTCTTTATCAATTTCTTTAGTCTTTTTTTCCTTGCAAGAACCTTCCTTGCTTGTTTGTGGCTTCTTTCTTTCTTTCTTTTTTTCTTTCTTTCTGTCTTTCTTTCTTTCTTTCTTTCTGCTCCTTTATTTCCTACTTTTCTCTTCGTTTTCTTCCTAGTCTTTTCTTTCTTTTTCTTATCGCTTTTCTTGTTTTTTTTTATTGTCTCCTTTTTTTTCATACATTTCTTTGTTTTTTTTTACCCATTGCTTCTTCCTAGCATCTTTTCTTCTTTTATTATTTATTTATTTCAAACGTTTTTCATGCTTGGTTTCTTTCTTTCTTTCTTTCTTCCTAACGTCTTTCTTTCTTTCTTTCTAACGTCTTTCTTTCTTTTTTTCTTCACTTTTCTTTCTATTCCCTACGTTTTTCCTTTTTCTTTCTTTTCTTTTTTCTTACCTCCTTTCTTGTTTTCTCAATTCAGTCCTCGTTTCTCTTTTCTTTATCCATTTTTTTGCTTCTTTATCCATTGCTTGTTCCTAGCATCTATTTCTTCTTTCTTTCTTTCTTTCTTTCTTTCTTTCTTTCTTTCTTTTTCTGCTCTTTTGTATTTCCTAGTTCTTTTCTTCTTTTCTTTCTAATCTTTTTCTTTCCTTTGTTCTTGTCTTTACTTTTTTGTCTCCTACTTTTTTCTTTCTTTTTAGCTTTCTTTCTTTCTTGTTTGTTTTTTGTTTCTTTATATCTTTTGCCTTTCCTTTTTTAGTATCTCTCTTGCTTCTTCGTAGCGTCTTTTTTCGTTCTTACTTTCATTCTTTCTTTTTTTTTCTCCTCTTTTCTCTCTAATTCTACTTTTTCCTCCTTTTTTTTCTAGACCTTTTTTTTTTTTTTCTAAACGTTTTCTTTCATTCTTTCATTGATTTTCCTACTCTCTCCTTTACTTTTCCTACTGTCGTCTTTCTTTCTTTCTTTCTTTTCTCTTTGTTTTTCACTTCTTTATCCATTTCTTTAGTCTTTCTTTTCTAGTATCTTTCTAACGCTATTCTTTCTCGCTCTTTCTTTCTTGTTTACTCTTTTATTCCTCTCCTTACTTTCTGTTTCCTTTCTTTCTTTAATAGATTTTTCCTTAGTTTTCCTCTTTTTTTCCTAATCTTTGTTTCTTTTGCTTTCTCTTGGACTTTCGCGTTTTTAAACTCGTTTTATTTTAGTCCTTTTTTTCATTTTATCTTTTTCTTACAAGTTAAACTTCTTTCTTTCTTTCAGTCTTTTTTTTCTCTCTTTGCTTTCTTTTTTCTTTTTCTTTCTTTCTTTTTCCCATCTTTCTTCCTGTCTTTCTTTTTTTTCTCTTTGCTTTCCTTCTTTTTTCTTTCTTTTTCTTATCTTTCTTTTCTTTTAATTCTCTCTTTTCTTTCTTTTCTTTTTGCTTCTTTTTTTTCTTTCTTTTTTCTTTCTTTCTTTTTCTTTTTTCTAAAGTCTTTCTTTTTCTTTCTAACGTCTTTCTTTTTCTTTCTTCTTTCTTTCTGTTTTCCTTCTTTTTTTCTATCTTTCTTTTTTCTTTTTTCTTTTTTCTTTTTTCTTTTTTCTTTCTTTCATTCAAACATCTTTCTTTTTTCTTTTTATCTTTTTTCTTTCTTTCTGTCTTTCTTTCTTTCTAACGTCTGTCTCTCTTTTCAGCTTTTCCTACACTCATTCTTTTCCTTTCTTTCCATTCTGTCTCCTTTCTTTCTTTCTTTTTCTTTTTTTTTTTTACTTTATTCTGTCAAATTCTTTAAATCTTTCCCTTCTTTTTGCTACTCCATTTTGAAAGACACTTCAATATATTCATAAATGCCCGAAATAACATTCTGTCGCTTTCATAACAAACGCTGTTTTGGAGCCCCCGCCTCCTTAACAAGATGCCATGATAACAACCGTTTTATGAAGAAAGCTGTCTTTTGAAAGAAAAAAAAAACTCTTTTAGGGAACCCAATCCCAAATAGATTTTTTATCTGGTCTTTTACGCTACTTCCCATATCATGCTTAAGGCCAAAATAATGTATAATTTTCTGAAAAATTTTAGCTTCCGTCGATTATATATATATATATATATATATATACCGTACCTATGAACACTAATGGGTATGCCCCAATCCTCATAAATACGTTGGACACTATTGTAAGTGGGGGTAATATGATGTCTATGTAGTCCACTACTAGCAGTGGTTTACCTGCTTCACGTCGCTGGCGAGTATTGTATTTTGTTGATGTTATAAAGATTACCATTTCATTTCCAACCTCCGTTTTGATTATTCCTCATTCAGCAACCATTTCTAGGGTTACAACTTTATTTCATTCACCAGGATAGATTGTTCTAGTTCCACGTGACATGCCTCTTTTGGATGTCTCACTTTTCTCCCTTTAACTCAACTCTCTAAGATTTTTGTTCACCAGTGCCTTGGCCAGGTATTGAACTCTTTGGGTCAAGTTACTAGATCCAACCAACGCTTTTATCCACTGGGCCATTAGTCCTTAAATGTATGAATTTTTTGGACTTTTAAATTTAATGTCTCATAACCATTTTTCCAGTGTTCATATTGCAAATTTGTTGTGAGCAGCTACCTTATTGCATTCTCTTGGATTTCCTCAATGTTTTGAAATCTTTCAAGTTAAATTTGATTTTTGAAGAGGAAATGTCACAAGGAGCAAGATCTTGGGAATGTTGTCATTGGTCAAAAACTGCTGCACAAGTCATACAAACTACATCTGGCAACAAGGCCTCTGATCAAGGTAGGTTTGAGAAATGTGGAACCACCTCTTAATTGCTGTTGTTCCCAGCTTCACACTGACCCAGTGTTGGTAGCACCTGTTAGGGTCCCAGCTATGGGCAAATAGTGAACTTCCAAACTGGGGTCAAAACATGAAAATAAAAAATACATTAGAAAAAAATTTCCAAAGCTCACCAAAAAAAAAAAATTTCCAAATTGAGTGATATATATATATATATATATAAGGAGTTGATATGCTGTTAAACAAATGAAAGCTTTTTTTTTGCTGGGGGGGGGATAGTGAGCAGCTACCTCATTACATTCTCTTTGATGTCCTTGATGTCTTGAAATCTTTCAAGTTAGATTTGATTTTTGAAGAGGAAAAGTCACAAGGCGCGAGATCTTGGGAATGATGTGATTGGTCAAAAACTGCTGCACAAGTCATCGTCACTGATGGAACCTCTGTGATGTGGTGAGACGACCACACTCTACACACTTTCCCTCCAAGCAAAGATATAAATACCAGAAGTGATCAAGAATGTTATGACTTAGTGTGCATACGTGACACTTCATAGTCATCCTTTGCCAAGTGGCTTCCATCTTCACTCCATTACCATAGCAACAGTCTAAATACATTTTGATCAAACTTCATAGAAAAAAATTACCAGCAATACATTTGCATAGTAAAAGAAAAAAATAAAAACTTAAGTTACCAGCAATACATTTTCATAGTAAAAAAATCAAAAGTTAAAAATTACCAGCAATATATTATTGGAAAAAAATTACCAGCAATAAAAATTACCAAAGCTCCCAAGAAAATAACATTTCATCATTAAATGAGTTGATATAAGGAATTGATATGCCGTTAACCAAACCAAACGTAACCAAACCATACTCTGAGAGAGTTGCTAATTGCATCTTTCTTCAATAAATCACTGTCGACCATTAATTCTAGTGTCACGCTAAATGGAACCTAACTTCTCATTTTTTTTTTGTAAATGTCAATAAAATGTCTCTTCCTCAGCCACGACTAGTTAACGTTAAATGCTGACACGCCCTTTAGTGTAAAATACCTTAAAAGTTCAGAGACACTTCAAGATCACCATCAGGACTTGTAATGAAGATACAGAGGGTAAATGAAGGAGAGAACGTCAGCGATTAAAACAATAGGATTATTGTTTAAATTCAACACTTATCTTCTTGTCAGTACATCTCTCCCTAATATAAACGTGAATGCTATTCAAGATCAGAGTGAAGGACTTCGAATCTGAAAAGATTGATATTAAACGATAATTTTTCAAGCATACAGTTTCATATCTGTCTATGTCTCTGAGGCGAGGTATATCATTATTTACATTATTCGGACTGTTATCCTCATCTTCATTGCCATATTCACGTTTCGCTCTCTGTATCTCAGAGATGAGGCATTATGATTATTTGCTTTATTTACATTATTCGGACTGTTATCTTCATCTTCATTGTCATATTTACAATGTTTCGACCTCTATATCTCTGATATGAAGTATTATGATTACTTGTATTATTTACATTATTCGGAGTGTTATCCTCATCTTCATTGCCATATTCACAACATATCGGCCTCTATATCTCTGAGATGAGGTATTATGATTATTTGTATTATTTACAATATTCAAAGTGTTATCCTCATCTTCATTGCCATATTCACAACGTTTCGAACGTTGTATAACCCGGCCTTCTTCTTCCTCAAGGACACATGGCCCAGTGGATAAAGACGTTGGTCAGATCCAATGACTAAATCCAAAGAGTTGTGAGTTCAATACCAGGCCACAACAGTGGTAAACCAAAAGCATGGAGAGTTGAGTTAAAGTGAAATAATCGACATAGACATAATCGTCTTTTTGATCGTAAGAATAATTCTTTATTTTTTGCAAGAGAATTATACAACTCGTATAATTTTAACCCATAGCTGGGGGAACGAAATTCCAAAGACTGCATTGTTTCTTTGCAGGTAAACTGACATCTGACTGTTCAAAGAAGACTTCAAAAGTAACTAGTATTGACTTTTTTTTCTTGAAAATCTCGTAAATTGCTTTACTCTTTTTTTGTGGGGGGTGGAGAATTGTGATCTCATCTTTTTGTCTCGATTCTTGCATCGCGAAATCTCGCCTCACGTGAATACATGAAGTGGACACGAGAGAATACAAAATCGGACATTTACAGCCCTTAAACGTGCAAACAGGCAGTGATAAAGACAATCGTCTCTTTTCTCCTGGACATTTTTTCTCGATATTTCCGCTACTTTTCGATCTCTCTGTGCTCGACAGCATTAAACAAAATAAACGGAGTTTGGAAAACGAAACCTCAAAAAGACAGAGAACGATGGAAATACTGGCCAGTTTGTCCTTCATTCTCTTTACCAGAGGGCTTTATTTTTATTTAAACAATTTCCCTCTTCGCCAGTCTTTTAGTTCATGAAGCTGATACCTTATTATCAATGTAAACACAAGTCTTGTAACCTCTGCGTTAGTTTTAATAATTGTTTGATTTCAGTGTCAGGACTTTGCGTAATGCAAGCCCATTGCTCAGATTTTAACCATGATTCGAGCCTCGTTGTTGATTTGTTGCCTGCTGTTTGAATTTTGTAATTGTGTTTAGGGATGGGCGAGTTCGAGACTGGGAATACAGAATCGTGTTCATGCCGGCCTTTTTGCAAGAGGACAGATAATAGCGGCCATGTTTTAGATTGCTTTAACATCAACTCGCTGAGTGTACACAATGCTTGGCGAATTTTATATTAGATTCGTCTTGCAAAACTATTTGGCATTGATAATGGCTTACCAAAGCAAAATCGATTCTTTATTTGTAACTTTATTTTCTTTTCTGGTCGAACTGGAAGGCATTATACATGCATAATGGCCACCAAATCGCTGTCAAGCATGATCATCCAAAGATTGTGAATGTTTACATGGCTTTTCAACCCACCAGTTGATTTTTTTTATACTAATGTTCACCAAATACGAGGCCCAAGAGCCAACGGTTCTGCGTGGCGTTGTATAAGCGCAAGAAATGGAATTTATAGGGCTATATAGGAATCATAATGGTTAAACCTATCCAGTGTCGAATTGTTAGATTAAGTTCTGAACCGTTGTATCTTAGAAATGATTAAATATATCTTACTGGAATTCATAAAAAGATTAAAATAAAAAGCCAAATTCTACCTTAATCCCCAGGAAAATAACAACAAAGAACACCGATTTTCCAATCTAAAAACTCAACGGACTCCACCCTCTTGTAAACTATTAGAACCTTTCGAAAAAGATCTCTTTAATATAGTAAAGAATATGAAATTTAGAAAAAAGTTTTAACTGTTTCCAAGAAAAATTTAACAAGTACATTAAGTTGATTAATAACGCCAATAAAATTTGGGTCAGAGCAGACAAATCTAAGTACATTTATAAATGTAACCCATTTAAATACCACAACATCCTAACCAACAAAATAACTGACAATAAAGAAGACAAATATCACAATAGGATCTTTGAAATTAATAAGGTGATGACCGATTTAGACAGTAATAAGAATATTGCTTCAAACATCATAAACGTAACTTCTCAAATAACACTCAAAATAGACTTATAAATCCCACAAAATCAGCACAAGACTTAATCTCTAAAAATATAATTTAAACAAATTACTGATGGACTGGGTAAGGCTACCGGGGTCAGTCTTTGGAAAGATTCCTCTGATACCATTCAGTAACATTAGTGACAAAAAGAAAGCCACCTTCATTAAGTTAGATATTATTGATTTTTATTCGTCCATATTTTGAAATCTATTGATTGTCTCTCTCTCTCTCTCTTTCTCTCTCTCTCTCTTTCTCTCTCTTTCTCCCCCTCTCTCTCTTTCCTTCCCCAACTGACCCTAGCCCTGTCTACAAACTCGCACCATAAACAGTTTAAAAAATCCTGCGAATTTTAAAATATAAAATTTCGCAGGCTATAATATATACTAAATTTTAAAATTCGCAGGTGGAAATGGTGATTAACTAATGGTATCTTAATTCCAATTGTACGAAATTATATATATATATATATATATATA